CCCCAACTCAAAAAAAAAAAAAAAGAGTGAGCGCCCTTCAAGTTCAGGATTAAAGGCAATTCTGGGCCCTGAGAAACCGGGAGTCCCCACCTTATCGTAGGAAGCAGACGTGAGGTCATCGTAGTCGGAGAGCCAGGGGTGAGCCTCGGCGTCCCGCTTTGCCATCTCCTCCAGCTCTGCCTGCAACTTGTCCCAGAAATCGACATCAGACTGTAAGGAAGGGCGGGCACACAGAAAAGGAGGCGTGTCATGGCCCACCCACCCCACCCTCAGCCTCCCTGGGACGGAGCCCCTGAGGCAGCAGTTCTGGAAGTTCAGCATGTTTCAGGGCCATCTGAAGCACTTTTTTAAAAGGCGGGCTCGGCGGCTCAGCCTGCCATCCCGCGCCTTCGGGAGGCCGAGGCGAGTGGGTGGCCTGAGCCCGCGGGTTCGAGACCCACCTGGGCAGCGAGACCTCGTCTCTACAATAAACCAAAAAATCAGCCGGGCGTGGTAGCGCGCGCCTGCAATTCCGGCTGCTCGGAAGGCTGAGGCGGAAGGATCGCCGGAGCCCAGCAGGCCAAGGCTGCGGTGGCCGGGAGCGGCCACTGCGCTCCAGTCTGGGCGACAGAGTGAGACTCCAACTCAAAAAAAAATAAAAAATAAATAAAAATGCAGACTCCCAGATTCGGGTTCAGTGGTCTGGGGGACACCCAGAGGCTTGCATTTTTGAAAGGCGCTCACCCATCCCCAAGCAACTCTGACACAGATGATCCAGGCCCCTAAGAAACACAACGTCCGCCATCTCTGATGTCCACACACCCGCTCGCTCTAGTGTGTGTTCTTGGTTCTCTCAGGGTGTCTGCTCCCGCACTGTCTGCTCTCACCTCTATCGCTGACTTGGCTCGTTCAAACTCCACGTCCAGGGCAGATGTGTTTGCTGGTCTCGTGAACTGGTCAACCCAGGCATCCGACGTACCCTGTGATGGAGGAGGACGGTCAGGGCCACACCACCACATTCTGCTTACAAACTAAGCGCCCGCTAAACGCCACCAACCTGGACACTTCTGAGAAGAACACTCCCAGATTGTCCTCCGCCCACTCGGGACCTGGATGCTACTAAGACAGGCTGGCCTTAAGATCCCATCCCCATCTGCGACCACTGACCACTGAATCCAAGGCCTGGGGTGCCAGCCAGCTCTGAAGCGGGACTGGGGAGTGACAATGTCCTACCTGCTGCTGTATAAACTCTGCTGCCCACTGTTCTGCCTGAGCTCGGCCAGACCCTGCACCGGACTCCAGGGACACCTGCCCCTCGCCAATCTGCCGCACGAATTTCAGGAACTGGGCACAGAGACACACACAGGCCGCTTGGGAGAGTATTTCCGGGCGTGTACTCTCAACCATGCCCAGGAAGGCCCTGTATTCGCCCCTCGCCCTGACCATCTCTAGCTGCAGACGGGACGTGCCGGAGACCCCGAACAAAGAAAACAGCAGAAAGAAAGGCATTTCTGGCTCCCGAGACCTGAGAAGGCCCCAGAAGAGAGAAAGGCCTCACAGCCAAGGAGACAAGAGAAGAAGCACCGGAAGGAGGAGGCGGGATCCCAGCCTCTGTCCTCCAGACAGGCGCGAACAGACCTGGGAGCTCTTCTCCCTCTCTTTCAACTGGACGGGGTGAAAGCAGCAGACGCCCAGCCCCGAGAGAAGCCGTGCGGGCGCAGCCGCCAAGGGCCGTGGCTCACCTCAGAGCTGGCCAGCTTGGGGTCGTCCACCCGGGCCACAAACTCGCTGGCTGCGCGCTGCAGGTCCCCCTCGGGCTGGTACTCATCATGCCTGCAACGGGCGAGAACCAGCCAGTTTTGCACGTGAGTTCACCACCACCTACCCCGTGCTGCTCCCCACACCTGGCCGTGGCACGGACAGCCGCTAGGGAGAGAAAGGGAAGGAACGCCACTCCACGAGCCCACCGAAAACCTGCAAGCTCCGATTCACATCAAAGAAGTCAGTTTAGGCAGGAGTGGGAAAGTACCAGCCACGTCCTTTTACCCCAAACGTGTCTCTTTCCCAAACGTGTCTTTGCAGGGAGAAGGGCCGACAGCAGCAACCCCAAAATTAAAAAGGGAACAGGGTTCATAAGGTAAAGTCATAAACTTCTGGTAGGATCGTTAAGAGTCTTCACCATACACACGCACACGCGCGCACACACATTTTTTTTAAGAGTCAAGATCTTGCGATGTTGCCCAGGTTGAACTCCTAGGCTCAAGCGATCCTGCCTCAGCCTCCCCAGTAGCTGGGACTACAGGCACATGCTGTCACACCTGGCTTCATTCTTGACTGTTACCTCTGAATTTTTAGTGGTAACCATGCAAGTGGAGACTGAAAAATCAAGTAAAACTTGGCTTGAGAGTATGGGTGGAGGAGGTACGGGGAGGCCGGGACACTGTCCAACGCTCCTCTCACAGGGATCCCGAAAGAGGCAGCTGTACTCACCAGCGGTCAGTGGTGGTCGTTCCCTCAGGCTCTCCCAGCCACAGCTTCTCCTCTGACTGTTCCAGGTATTCCTCGGCCCAGCGGGCAGGGGACACAGACAAGGGGTCTGCAAGGGGCAGAGAGTGGGGGAAGTAACTCATGGCTCGGTGTGGAGCGAAGGAAAGGAAAATACACACCGTCAGATGACCCTTGCAGCCAAGCCAGGGTAGACAAAATTCCGGTGACTCCCCTCTGGACAAAAGAAAATGCTACAAAATTTTCAACATCCTCTTCAATACCCAAACCATTCTCAAGAGGCCTGCAGTGGAAGTTTGCCAAGAGTTGGGAACAGGAGACCAAATATGGAGGCTCAGAAAAGGAAACCACTAGACTAAACACTTTCTCTTGAAGTACAAGAAACTTCAGCAAGAAACAGTATGGAGCCGGGTATGGTGGCTCACGCCTGTAATCCCAGCACTTTGGAAGGCAGAGGCGAGAGGGCTGCCTGAGCCCACAGGTTCGAGAACAGCCTGGGCAACTTGGCAAGATCTCGTCTCTACAGTAAATCAAAAAATTAGCCAGGTGTGGTGGCACATGCCTATGGCTCCAGCTACTTGGAAGGCTGAAGCAGAAGGGTCACCTGAGCCCAGCGGGTCAAGGCTGTGGTGGCCATGAGTGTGCCACGGCACTCCAGCCTGGCAAGAGTGAGACTGTGACTCAAGAAAGAAAAAGAAAAGACAGCCACCAAGCCTCAGTATGCTTCCCCGACAGAGTTCACGCCATCCCTGCAGCGAGCCTCAGTGTACTGTCACAGATCTACCAAGAGAACGGAGCACTAGGCAAGCATTAAAGACACACAGCTCCACGCAGCCTAGAGATGCTGACTTTTTCATCTTTTGAAGGGCAACGTACAAGCACGAAAGCACAAAATGTGTACAAAAGTGTGCAGCTCCATCAGCTTTAGCGCATGAACACACACCCATGACCCCCACCCAGATGGAGAGCAGAGCGTCTGCAGTTGCCCACAGGCTCCCTCAGGTCCCACACCCAGAGGGAATCCCGATTCAGACTTTTCTCCTTTTGATCCGCTCTGAGCAGCTGCGCTTTTCAGTCTAATTCTAGGAACCGTCTCAGAAGCACTCATGACCAAGGGAACTGCTGCAACATCAGAACAAACATCCAGGCGACACGCGGAGCAAGGGTGACTGTTTCCCCCCCCTCCAGGACTCTGCCCTTTTCTCCCCCGGGCCGGAAACAACTGCAGCAGGAGGGCAACAGGGCCCGCAGCAGGAGGGACAGAAGCCAGGAGACACAGGGGCCTGCAGCACTCCTCCCTCCCGCTGGCGTCTGCAGCTTCACCTGGCAGACACAGGAAGGGTGGGGCAGCTTCGCCCCTCGACTCAAGACCTGATGGCCACTGCTCTCGACAACGAGAAGGCAGAGTGATTCCGCCAGTGTCATGTACAACAAAATGTTCTGCTCCATTGTAACTGAAACTTTGCTGGAGTAATTTCAACAAAGTAGTCTCAAAATCAAAGAACAAAATGTCAAAACATGAAAACGAAGCCTCAAGACTCAGGATACACCTAGTTAGACATGATATATAACTAATGTCATAAAAAACAGGGTTGGCGATCGTTTTGGGATCACAGACCTGTCTCTCAATCTCAAGAATTCTCAACAATTACATCCAGACCCAGCTCACCGGTTCTCACAGGAAACACTGCTCTGCTGTGGAGACAGAAAAGCAGACGCTTGACAGCAATGCTCCAGTCGACATCACAGCCCTCCCAGGTCCCTCGTTCCACTCTGCTGAAAAATAACAAGTCCCTCCTCCGTACTCTCTAGTCACCCAGCTCTCACAGGAATGTTTTGCGAAAGCAGATTCTGGCCTAAGCGTTCCCCAGGTTCACAGGAGCATTCCTAAAGAACGCTCCTCTCAAGGACAAGTTCTGCAACAGAAAAAAATTAACTACCTGTACTTTACAACAGACATGAAGCAGACTAGGAGAAATTCCCAGAGCTGAGCAAAGTCATCCTCGAACACCTATAATTTGGCATCTGGCCCCCTTGGACAGGAGACCCAGAATGTTCTGGAACTGGTTACCTACTCCATCCAGCAAAGAAGTCAACCAAAAGGGCCAAAAGAACAGCCCTTGGCCTTCATCACCTTTTGAGAAATTGCTACAGAAAACCAGTTCCATTTGGATACACTGGAGATTGAAAAGCACTTAAATCCTAAAGCAGGACGAGACTGAGGTTACGAAGATTAGCAGAGTTAGAACCACCTTGATACCAAACATCCAAACCATAATGCTCACCCTATATAATTTCTTGCTGTGCATTACTGTGTATCATCAGGTATCATTTCTCAGTGCCCAGCCGTCTAGGCACACCTACCCAAGCTCAGAGATTAAAAACTCAGAACATCCTACCCTGATGCACAAAGTCAGCCTACGGACACGTAAATCCCAACTGCATCACTTATTCATTGTACATCTCAGACAAGTTACTCGACCCCCTTAAGTCTCCATTTCCTTATCTATCAAGCAGGCACAATGATCACTACCTCCCAAGAGTTGCTGTGAAGACCAAAGTACACAGGGCCAGGCACTGGCTATTATCAGTACTGGCTGGCAAACCCATACCAAGAGTAAAACTCATCACACTGAGACCATCACTCCTGTTACTCCAAAGCTTCTCGTCTGCCATCTGGAAGAGACCTGCTGCCAGTCTTCTGCCACTGCTGCCCACTGCTTTTCCCATGAAGGCACAGGTTTCTCTCTCACAGTTACCATGCAAACCTGACCATACGCCATGTCAACTGAAGCTGTCTTAATTTAAATACACTAAAGATGTGTTTTATCTCTAGATATGAGCAAGCACAAGACGGAGAACAATTTCGCCCAGATGATTTAGGATGGAGGAACTAAAATACGAGCATCGTGTGGTGATGGAATAGCTCTATATCTTAATTGTGTGGGGGTGCCGACAAATCTATATATTTAATAAGATTGCATGCCGGGCTCAGTGGCTCAGCCTGTCATCCCGCGCCTTTGGGAGGCTGAGTTGAGTGGATTGCCTGAGCCTGCGGGTTCGAGACCTGCCTGGGCAGC